CGACTATTTGTTGCTTGAAAAGATATCAGGTTAAAGTACCATTCATTTTCTCCAGTGTATGAACTTAACATTCTATTCTGATCACAACTTGTAAAAAAAAACTCGGAAATTTAAAATCACAAAGCGTAAAGCGCAAATTCTATGTATTCTAAGTTGTGCAAAGAATCAGCCCGCTTTTTGAACAATGTGTGCGCACGGCTGGGAAATGATCGGGTTTCTTGCCTTATCTTTGATGTGCTCTCACTGTTGGCCGCGAAGTTTGACTGATGGAGAGGCTTCACTACATTTGCACACATCGTCATGCTTTATTGTGAATAGCATGAATTGGGCAACCATTGCGCAGATGTGAGGTCGGTACGTGCACCTCCCTCCTGGTTAAGTGGTGCACGGCTAATGGATGAAGAAGGGGGATGAGTCCTCGAAGTTTTCAAAAGATTTAACTTCTACTTCTGAGATTATTCGGTGGAAATTGTAAAGTGACATGACACATGAGTGGCAACAATGTGGCATAGAAGAGCACGTGGGTTCCCGCAGAGTATGTGGGATGTAACGGCGACGCCTTTGATTGGTGATCAGGAAGCCATGGTTCAGTTCATGGCCACATAAATCACGATCAGCGACTAGGCTACAACATCGTCTTACATTATGCGTGAGGTCGTCGCAGATAAGGGCCTCCATCAGTGTCCATATCAGCTCCAGAAAAGCACATGGCTCAGCGCTTCAATCTTGAGGGGTGAAATCTCGAGTCAAATAGTCTGAGCTCCCACAGTTCCATCAGAAATTCAATCCTTTCCGAATAGTAGATGTTGTCACTTGTTTGAGAAGGATGAATAGAAAACAGAAGCAGTAAAACAGCTAATAATACAATTCAGCACTAAAAGAGGGAATAGTAAATGTCTGGCTCAGCGCATGTGGACTGCATGGATCTCGCTGCCTTTATGACTAGACTTGCAGCCTTGAGAAAGGTAAGCACTTTCTGTTTGTGATCGTAGCTCAGGTTTTTTTAAATGCATTTCCTCAGGTGTTCACATGCAACGCATGAATTTAAAAAACTCGGGGCGAAAGTTGTCGAAACATTCATAAAGCGTGGTTACACTATTTTTAATTACAGTGAAAATTGGTTGATTTCACGCCGATCCAAGTTTGGATTCAAAACCAATATTGGGTGAAAGCGATGTGGTAACTTTTTTTGACAACTGAAGTTAATCTTTTGATTTTTAGACGTTATTGAGGGGCCGCAAAAAAAAGGTACTCAAGT